GAGCAAGGAGTCTCGTGGGAAAGCCACCGCATCTTCAGAAGGTACGGCGTGCAGGACGCCCTTCTCACACGGAGAAGGCACTCGTGGGTTGGGGGGAGGCACCACCGCTTCCCAACGGTCCGTGTTGTAGGCTGATTGGCAGCCTGCAAGACAGCAGTTTAGCGGTGTTGGATGCGCAGTTTAGCGCCTTAGAGCTTAGAACTGAGACGTGTCTAAGCAGGGGCTGTGAGCGCCGCACGAGACGGCCGTAAGTCATCGTCAGCTGGACAGTGGCAGGGCTGTCCAGGTCTGCTTGCTGTTTGTTGTTTGGCGGAGTTTCTTGGGGTTTATAGTCTCCAAGGCTGATTTCCTGTTGGGCGCACTTTCTTGCGTGCTTGGAGACTGTCTTGGGGGACTTACGCAGGGTTTTGAGTAGGGCTTTTACAGCCAGGGCTGGTTGCTGTCGGGCGCACCATTTCCTGGTGCTTGGGTATTGATTTGGTGCGCTTTGCGCAGCGTTTGGCTGGGACTTTTGCCGCCGGCAGCAGGTTGCGTCAGATCTGATCTGGCGCCAGTTTTCAGCGCTTCTTACGGACCAGTCAGCAGGCTTTTGAGCAGGGTTTTTGACCTCAGGACTGTCCTACTGGCGCATGTACCTTTACGGACGCTGCCGGGCTGTTTTGCGCACCACACACATACTTTTGCGGCGTTCTTTTCAGCACTTTAGCAGGGATAGTAGCGCTGCTCCCTGTCGCCAGCTTCGCATTGCTGAGAACGCTTCTGTGTATGCTCTTGACGGAGTGTATTGACAGTCTGTGTCACAGAGGACGCGTGGTTTTCTTTTGGTGTGAAGGGAGCGCGTGCTTTTGTTCTGTCTGGCAGGGAAGGACGAATACAGCGGCGCCAGGACTACGCACATCCGCGTTCGTGGCAGCAAGTGCCCTTACTGTTGAGCCCTGTCAGACTGCAGTAATCAGCATACCTGCACACTAAACTTCTGTGAGAAATCCTTCCAAAATGGCAGGGCATGGCGAACATTCAGGAGCGCGCACCTGACGTCCCAATTGCTGACGACGCTGACGACAATTTCAGTGATCTTAACGCGGACGAAGGCGAGGAAAACCCCCAAGATCCTGCAGCTGCAGCTCAGCGCCAGCGCAACCGCCGCAATCGCCATCGCCGCCGTGGTCGACGCAACAACCACGGTCAGGGCAACAACAACAATCAGCAAGG